TTTTTTACATTTAAAATCTTTAAAATTTTAATACACATTTCACATAGCACTGTGCCCCCCCTAAAATTATTTTCTGGCTCCGTCCTTGCACACTGAAAACAAGAGTTTCGTACGAAATTATATCTTTATGGTGTCCTAATGAATCAAAACCTTAAAAAAGTCAAATCCGACGAGGCAGAAAAGAAAAGAAAAGAAAAGAAAAGATAGCTGCGGCCCCTCCCCCCTACGCCTATTTCAAATTCTAATAAATAAGCCGAAGAAAAGATACGAGTTTGCTGTTAGATATATTTAATGGAAGCTATCCCATCATTTATCTGACCTCTTGCTCTAACATGGTAATTTCCATTTTTTGTGGACAAAAATAAATTTCTCTTTTTTATTGGCAAAAATTATCTCCAGATGAATGGGAGAATGGGTCGTTCTCTTGACCTAATCAAAGGTTGAAATACTTAAACCAGAAAAAAATGAAAAGTCAAAGATAAAGATGATCATGCATAATAAAAAAAGTCCTTCATTTTCAATTTAATTACATCAACTACATTATTGAGCTGGCCATCTGCGCCTATAAAAGTAGTCCAATAGCTGCAGGACTCGTTGCCATAAGCAAACCTAATATCAAAATGGCTTCAACACCGAGTGACAAGTACAGGCCTATCTTGCAGGAGGAACCAGAAAAGGTTCAATGGCGACACGGTGGTCCTCCAAGGTACGATGACGTGAACCGTCTCTTCGAAGAAGGCCGAACCAAGGTGCTTAAACTCTGAACTTTGTTTCTGTTTGTTTTGATATAATTAATTTTGAGTTATACAAGAGACAACATTTCTTTGTGCTTTTTAAACGCTTCAGTTTTGGATATGAAACATATAATTTAGAAGTCTCATGTTATAGGTATATATGGTTTCTTCCTTGGCAGGAATGGCCAGAAGGGTCACTTGAAGAAACGGTGCAGAATGCTATCAAGTCGTGGGAGATGGAGCTTTCCCATAAGGTTCGCTTGCAGGACTTCAAAACCATCAACCAAGAAAAGTTCAAGCTCATCGTTAATGGTACGTACATATCAAATATCCATATCTTTGGCATCCTCATCATGCTGTTTGTCTTAAAATTCAAACTTTGATGTTGAACTTTCTAATGTTAAATCCTCGTATTCAAATCCTGAGGAACGATATCCCTTCTACTCTTCATAATTTTTTTTTCTTTGGAATATGAGACAGGAAGAGAAGGATTATCTGGGGAGGAGACACTAAAGCTTGGAAGCTACAATGCACTGTTGAAGAGTTCTATGCCGGAGGAGTTTCAATACTACAAAGCAAATGAAGAGAGCTTCGAATCATCGCACGAAGTTTTTCGATCTGCTTTTCCTCGCGGATTTGCGTGGGAAGTGATTAAGGTTTACTCTGGACCTCCAGTGATTACTTTCAAGTTCAGGCATTGGGGTTTCTTTGAGGGTCCTTTCAAGGGACATGCCCCTACTGGAGAGATGGTTGAGTTCTATGGCTTAGGAACTCTCAAGGTATGTCATTGCCTACCGCATATGCCTAACGTATTAAAGGGCAGGCTGAAAAAAACAAAAGAAATATTATTGATTCTTATAATTTTTAAATGTAAAATTCAAACGCACTACAATCAGAAAATGAAAAATAAATAAATAAATCATCACTTAAAAAAATTAAAGAAAATAAATTCAACAAAATGTTAAATGGGAAGGTTGCTTCAGATACACCCCTTCTGCATCTCGTGGTATAGGGGTATTTACATTTATGGTATTTCCATGACCAACATAATTTCTCCTTTCAAGACTTCATAAAAACGAAAACTGAACTAAAATACGAAATAGAGCCTTGTTAGTTAAAATAACATTATGATTAACTATTATTATTAATAGAAAAGACTTTCTCACCTTCGTAACAAAAAATTCAAATAAAATTATTATTAGTTATTATTACTATAAAAAACTTTAGTACCTTCATGACAAAAAATTCAAACTTGTGCTCTCCTCATCTCCATAAGCTTGAACCATTTGTTCTAGTACATTAAGAAAAAAAATGTCATGTTTTTCCACTACTGAAAAAGAGAAAACCCTCAATCTGATTTTCTCTGAAATAAAGTTCTCATGGAATTCCTTCACAGGTTGATGAATCTTTGAGAGCCGAGGACGTAGAGATTTACTACGACCCAGCAGAGCTATTTTCCGGCCTACTAAAGGGGCCACCTCTCTCAGAATCAAAATCATCGGAGGACAATGCCCATAGGCACTAAATCAAAACAGGCACATGCATATGCATTTCTGCTTGCACAAAAAAGCCTCACCAGTATGAGCTGTTGTATCTCTTCCATGGTTCCATGTCTTTTTAATTTTTCCTTTTTCATCTATGTATAATCAAGCATCTATGTATTCTCTCTCACTCAACCATTTCAAAAAAGAATTAAAAAAGAGCATGGATGGACCTCCCAACTGAAAATTTGGCGGAAACCCCCACTAGGGTTTAAATGATACAGAAATCAGTGGTCCTTGTTACCAGCACGGACTGGCTGGACTGACAACAGTTGAGCACCACGTTGAGTGTTTCTCAGGACCATAACTGCTCGTTTGGAACACTGGACATACGATGGGATAGGACAAAAAATGTGTCCTATCCTTAAGTGTCCAACGTTTGGTGGACTGATTGGATGGGGTGCTATTTATCCCATCTTGTATCCCATCCTTTCCCGATTGAAGAAAATTTATCCCACCTTACCCATGGGATTCGTTGGCACTAATTTTTTTTTCTAGTTTTTGCCTCTCTCCACCACACGCTCCTCCCTCTCAGATTTTAGTGTCAACTCCGGCGAACCCATCTCCTCCCTCTTTGTGCTTTTTCTTCTTCTTTCCCACTCTCTTTCTCCTTCCCTTCCTTGATTTCCATCTGGCTAACGATTCAAGCTTGTCCATTGCTTTTGCTGTTCTGCACATGGCTAAACAAGTCGACTCCAATTTTACTGGCATGGTTGCCGACGAAGGTTAAGTGGTTTTCCGGCATTTGTTCTCTCATCAATTATGATTCTCTTACAGATATGAGGTTAGCAAATCAAGTTCCTTTGAAGTAAATCGAGATTTGATTTTTCTGGATTTAATTGAGATGTGATTTTTGTAATGAACTTTGTAAGATTATAAAAAACTGGTTGAAATTTGTTGATTATGGCAAACTGGTTACCGTTAATTTTGATATATTTGTAACCAAAATTTGATAAATTCTATTCTTTTTTTTTAGAATCATGATCAAATGAAATATTTTATGCAATGATTTAGTTGTTCGGAAAATGAGAAAGCGTAAGGAAAATTATGATAATTTTACTGGTTTGTAATTGTCTTCTTGCTGGGTGGATGTAGTTTTGTTGAGAAAACAAATGAAATATTTTTTCTCAGTAATCTAACTGTTTGGTTAATGAGAAAATGAAGGAAAATTATCCCCCAACAATTACGAATGAAATATTGTTAAGGAATTATTATAAAACAAATAAAGAAAATTACTACTCTTAAAATTAAAATTAGTTAGATTTAATTTTAACTAGGGCAAATTGTCCACACAAATAATTATTTGTGTCTTATCTCATTCTGTTTCCAAAGTCAAACAAACATAAGACTGGACTCGACACAGTACATCCTATCCAATCCAATCTAATCTTATCCTATTAATTTTATCTAATCCAATCCTAACCTGCACTCCAAACTCCGTGCTCTAAAATTTCAAGAAAATCAACAAGCTAAATGAGAGACGGCCCCTCCTTTTGTTGACTTCTTGAGCAAAATATCAGAGATTTTTGAACTACTGAAACAACTGGTAACGTCGAGATCAAAACCTAATTGATGCCTAAGGACATAATAAATATTGCCTGACCTGGGTGGGTATGACGATGAAGACATCTAAAAATGTTGGTTGGCATCAAGATTGGACACGTATTACGGAAAATACAGCGCACATTACTTTCAACAGAACTCAATTTTTGAGTCAATTCCACTCCGACTATCATCCACAAGAGCCTCGTTTAACATTTCAGTGCAAAACTGATCATTTGGTTGCAGCCATAGAGCCTGAATGTAAATGTAAAAAGAATGGTATGACCCAATTTGGAGCAGTACAGAAATGGTAAAATGAATGGTATACTAAATGCTTAGTTCTTGGTTGAAGCAATCTTTGAACAATAAGGTCCATCAAAAAATTACTTACCTTATGATAGTATGTAATTGCAGCACTAAAATTATCCTGCATAAGATCGAAAAGAGAAACTAAGGTCTTAGCTTCACACTTCCCATTGAATTCGATAACAAAGTAAATGTGAAAGCTTGAAATAAAATAGTGCGAAGTTAATTTCTTCAAATAACTTTCAATACATAGGTTGCTTGCGTTGCTTATAAAAGAGAAAGATCATTTAGGAACTCAACATTTGTCATAAGAAATAAACAAAAAGGTTAATAGCTTAAGAAATCCCATAACAAAGGAACTTTAAGCCATTCACTTTAAAGACATAAAATTATCAAGTACATTCTACAAAAGTCAGACAGGGAAATTCATCCTCAACGGACCTGCTATGCTATGATATAAAACTACATAAATGAAATGTGCATAACATACTACTGTACATATGCATCCACAAACATACAGACACAACCAACCCTGGCATAAGATCTCTGTGTCTACACAAAATACAGATTGGGAATATACACATGTATATACAAACAGAGAGGGGAATAAGAAATATCAAAGGGGAATGAAGAGTCTAAGTACCTGCAAATGGTAGGTATAAGCCAGACCAGCATAAGTGCTCAAGCTTTTGGTAGATAATGTAAGTGCTTTCTCATAGTTTGAAATGGCTTCTTGGTACCTCCTGAGACAAAAAGGTCGAAGAGTGACCATCACTATCAGAATGATTAAAGCACTTTACCATTAGCACCCGTCAATATAAACAAAAATAGTCAGCTTTAGTATCAATGACCTCAAAAAAAAATTTGCAATTAAGTCAGTTGATCAGCTTGTAACATAAAGACTGATTTTGGATAAATAAATAAAACATAAATCCTGAAATTTGTAAAATAACATACTTTAATTTCCTGCATGCATGGGCAAGATTAACCACAGTTGGTTCCCACATTTCACTTAAAGGGGATGGAATAAGAGCTAATGTGTTTTCAAACCACCATACTGCTTTATTATACCTGAAAGGGTTTCAAAGAAGCAAAATGTAGTGGTTAATATAATTTGGACTACAATATCTGAACTAAAGAATAGAAGTATGATCTCAAGTACACTAAGAAACATTTTTGCAAGTCATAGTTATCATTACTCCTTCATGTGATATGCAACAACTCCAAGCTCATTGCATACAAGTGGATCTGAAGGGCATATTGTCTTGGCCTGCATAAAGAACTGGAAAACAAACCAACAAATTAGAATTTCTTCTAATTCCAAAAGTGAAAGACTTACCCTGGAAGTTCATATATAAAAGTCAAAAGATACAGATATGATTCATAACAAAGATGCGAAATGCAGTAGGACACATCATATAAATAATTTAACCCATCCAGTGATTATGGTCGTCATTTCTGACTCTATAATTCTTCTACCAAGCAGATAACAAATTACCTGCTCAGCAAGCTTGAAACTGTGGGTTCGCATGTATTCCATTCCAATGTACAGAGTTGGTAAATGACACCTGGAATAAGAGAATATCAAGATTCAACCTGTAAAAGGACAATCCATAAATAATAAGAGGATTTCAACCATGCATTAAATAAAAGATGTATAACTACTGCCAAACTGGAAACTATATGCAATTACCCATTTGAATAATTCTCAAAACAATTTTATTTATTATTAGCAATGAATGACCTTAAAAAGGAGTGATAGAGGAATAATCTTAGACGAGGAGGACGAGAAAAAACCAAAAAAACTCCATGAAACACAAAGTTTCAATCAACCAGAAAATGCAGAACATCTAAAGCAGCATAATAAGAATATCCAAGAAAGCAGGAAAGTGGAAATGATAAATGCTAAAATAGTCCTGGAAATTGAAGTTAAGAATAATAGTAATAATAAATAAATAAATCATGCTGCTCCTTTCTTCATCATATATAGCCACACTGCATACATATAATTGAATTGATATAAAACCAGAATAGGAAAGGCAACCTCAGAAATTAAAGTAATAATTTACCCAGGAAATAAACGAGCAGCAGTTCTATAGGCAGACATTGCCTGATCGCCCTCTTCTTTAGCAGCATAAGCATTGCCAAAACCTATCCAGGCAGGAGCAAATGTTCCATCTAAATTTGTAGCCTTGCTGCAAAGTGAAATCAACCCACATTTTCAATATCAATAGAAAATCTAATTAGATCAAAATATCTTATTACAGAACAAAGAAGTGATTATCTAGAAATACATTAATAGAAACTTAACTAGCATCCAGTCTGCAGAAGTGCAAGATAGATCTCTGACCAGGAAGAATGTTTCTTTTCTTTTTTTTAAAAAAAAAGGAGGAACAAGGCTATTGGGAAATGTTCAGGCATAACTAATGTCAAACTTGAAACGACATCCATTCCTTGTTGGTTTCAAATTAGAGAGCAAAATATACATCCAAATCTACTTGCCCAGGAAGAGAAGATTTTAAAGCCTTCCAAAATATAAAGGCAAGATTTGATTCCATCATGAAGAACCCTTTGAACAATAGCAAGTTTGCATTAGAACCTCACCAGACAACATTTCATGACTTCAATAGTGATAGAACTACAAACAACTCATGATAGATGATTTAGCATTTTTTGTTTGGGACTGAGTTTACTGAGTTTTAAAGGATTACCTGAAATAACAGCGTGATTGATCATACTTCTTGATGCAATAGTAGTAGCAGCCAACAGCAAACCATGACAAAGCCCTGAAAAGGTTAAGTAATAATAAGTAAACAACTCAAGGCTTCAAAAGAACATAAAAGGATTAGGTGTCTTAAATTAAATTCAAGCACACTTTTTTGAACTACTAAACATAACAGATTAATAGGCACAGGCTTCTCAGTTTCTTCTCCCTTTTTTCTGTTTTTTTTTTTTCCTATCTCAACAATGACATTCATCACCATTTTCCAAGTTGCTCTCTAATGTTCAAGTTTCTATTCAAACTGAGGCTACAACTCCTAAGTTAGTCATATTCCTAAAGCTTTAATCAATTTTGACACTTTTATTATACAAAATACATCCTAACTGGGACATTTAGATAACAACCATGTCAATTTAATTAAACCAAAGGTGAGTTCCAGTCTTAGTATTACTCTAATCTTTGTTACATTGTGAAGCCTTCACAATCTTCAGTTAGGCAGTAGTTCATAGTTCATAGTCTCTTAATGATGCTGTAATTTCAATATGCATGAATACTGTTAATGTCTCTGGTGAATTTAAGTTTATGTTTTTATAGAGAGAACCATTTTCATACACATCCTTATACCAAATTCGCAAACTAATATGCTGTTGTTCTAGAACTTTTGGATGCATAGGATTTTAGTGTCTAGTTTTTAGATTTGTTCCTTCTGCTAGCAAATGCATATTAATTATGCCAAAAGTTTGAGGGGAACATTTCTTACTTATGATTAGACATGAATTTGAATCATTTAAAACGATCAAAGTATTGTTTTACTACAAACTTCTTAGCCACAGATAAATGTGAAGTCATCTAGTAAGCAAATCCATTTCATCCTGCTGATAGAGATTGATGATAATCAGATGATGTCTGGCAAGTGAACTCAAGGCGCATCGAAGACATGGTATTATAATATCAAAGCAATTAAAAAAACAAATACTTTGATCTAGAACTAAAACAACGCACTTTTGAGGATAGTCCTTTACTAAATTGCATGCCATGAGATAAAGCTCATTTGAATGTCCAAGCTCCATTGCAGCTGCTAAATGTACCAACGTACTTTTCAAGTGAAAAGGATCCTTTTCAAGCAACCTATAAAGCAAAATATAGAAGTTCATGTTAACAGAAATCTCAGGGACAAATTAACATAAACACTATTCGGGATCAGCTTTCTTCCTACTTACGCAGAAGTAAGTTCAAAGCATTTTTGATATTCACCACATTGATGGTAATATTCAGCTTTGCAGGCCAAAAGATCAGTGTTATTTTTCAGAGTATCCATCAAGGTTGGGCTAGAAGGGCTGCTTTTCAAACTTTCCTTTTCAAGTTCTCTAAATTTGGCTTCCATAACATTTTCTTTGCCATACTGCAAAAATCACAAAAGAAAAACAGAAAATTAGTTAGCACAAAACAGAAAATTAAGTTCAAAACAAACATGGAAATAAATAAGTAAATAGATTCTAATGAAATGAATTAACATAAAGGGTAATGTCTAAGAGAAAGGTGAAGTTTTTCATATTTAGACCACAATATATTCAAGTTCATAGTTACCTTCTTGGTTAAACATGAGTAGAAAGAAGAGAGCCAGTCATCTTCAGGAGCAAATTGCAAGGATGATAATAGACTTGCTTCTGAAATCCAATAGAAACTCTTGGTAAACCTAAAAATACAACTACATTCAAACATTCCATGTAAAATGAGTTGAACTTGAATATAACAGTGCTGAAGCTAAAGAAGCCGCTAGTAATACACTAAGTTTTACAACCTCGTTTCTATTTAGGTACCATGCTCTTGGCTTTTCTTTTTTCTTTTTTCTTTTTTCTTTTTTTTCCACAGCTCCATGCTTTTGGGTTTCTTTTTGTGTTGGTAAATTTTTAGGGGTTGATTTTTTTAAAAAGCTGTACATAACCATAATAATTTTTTATATTAAAAATATTAATACAAATCAGAAAAAACCATTCATAATTTCACTATATTATAATCTTAATATTTACTCTCTTTTTTTTCTTTTGGGATTGTTTGCACATTACTATTTCACACAGCCATGTCCACGGCAGTACACAGCAATTCCCAACAGACCCTTACTCTCATGCATCTATTGTGATAAGAGAAACAAATCCAAAAGTAGTTAAGGCATCTTACCTTCCTCACAGGTAAGCATGTGATTTTCAATAAGACACTCTAATGCCTGAAAAACAGTGAAAGGAAAAACTTTAAAATAAAGTACAGAGGAAAATCATTTATCTCACATAAAAAAGAATGAAAACATGATATTGTGACAATTCAAATCAGAAAATTTAATGTATGAAAATTTTACTACAAATAATATAATTTTGCAGAGAAGTAAAAATACTTTCAGAAATCAAAAGCCAAAGAACAGTTAAATAAAGTTTTTCAACTATAAACTTATATTGCAAACTTTGTATTTTCTGCTGGCAGAAATACTTTGATTCTGAGAGAGGAGTTGACTCTCATAAATACAACTCCCATCCCCTATTTAGCTATTCCTACTCCGAGGGATGTGAAACTGCAATTATAGCAAGTATAGCATCTATATGTACCTCATAACATAAAGGATCAGCTTTGATTGCAGCTTTATACCTGAAATCAAGAAAATCAAGCAAATTGTCAATGAGCTCTTCAACCAATACAAGTCCAAACATTTGGAAGTAAGAAAAAGATGCAACAGAAAGAGAAGATCCATGAAAATTAGGGTACAAAAGGTGGTAGAACAATAATATATAGCAATAAAGGTAAAACTTAAATCCATTGGTCATTGCCACTGCCATTTATTAACCAAAAAAAAAAAAAGAACATTTAGAAGGTCATAAGTCCATAATTAAATAAGTACACCACAAAAAATAGAAATAAAAAAATGAAAAAGAACTGCCCAAGAAGCTAGAACTTCAAATCATGAATCTTCTAGATGACAGTAAGGAAAGACTTAGGCAATTCAGACACAAAATCTAGAATGAGTTTCCAGGTATAATTGCTTAAACTAGCATAGAAAATTTTATAATTCTTTGGGGCTAAGTTTTTTTCCTTTTTCCTCCTTTCTTCCTAACCAAACTCTTCATCCAAGGGTAGTTGTAGATAAAATGTATCTGGAGTATCAATTTGTGGCCCTTGTAGTAGAAAGAAAAGTCTCCGAGTATTACTTTCACAAAGTCAAATAACTTAACTATGATATGAGAGTCAAAACTTTGATTTATGAATTAAAATTATAAAGTCAAAGGAAGCAAACCTTGTTTCTTTTTTTTTACAAATATTTTATTTATGACAGTGTCATAAACACACACATACACTCAGGGCACAAAAGGCCTTGCTGATTTTCTACATGCATAAACCATCATCTGAAAAAGCCAATGGCTTGAAGAAACCTGCTTCTTACAGAGAGTGTAATTGACATATACTAACCACTGTCGAGCCTGGGCACGATTTTCCAAAGCTTCGTATGCCTTGCCTCTTAGAAAGCATATAGCCGAAGAGATCTGTTGCAAATATATATGCATTAATCAAGACCATATAGCAAGAATATCATCACAAGGAGTCCACATGGGCTCAAGCATCTCATATCCTCAACCAAAATCAAGAAATCTACTAATATAAGAAGCAAATATAGGAAACCAAATGCTCTGTCATATCATAAAGCACTTTTAGAATTAGAGGATGATCCACTTCTACCCACATTAGCCAATAAAATTTTGAGAGAAAAAATCAGGACAGAACATATGCATCGTTCTCCATGATATTGCAATAGAAACTTTCAGAACAGAATAATGACTACTACACTACTACCCAAAAAGAGCTCCGGGTCTTAAGTCCAAACTATTAAAGGACATACACAAACAAATCTAGCTAATTACATTAACAAACCAATCTACTAAATCAAATCCAAACTCTAGAGGAATCAAATTAACTGTTGAAACAACCCGGAATTGAAAAATAAAAATACATACATTGATTTCGCGATCTTCACCATCTTTATCTAAGTACATGACACTGTTATCCTTCATAACATACACATTCCCATCTTCATCAACCTTAGCTTCACCAAGCATCAACAGGCACTGATCCCACTCCTTAAGCTCCTCCTGATCATACAAATAACCAAACCATTTAAAACAAGATAAAACCCTAAACACCCAATCTGCAGAACCAGGAGGAGCAAAAAAAAAAAAAAAACCACCAGTACCAAAAAAATTAAAAAATGATATATGAGAAAGAGTGAAATGAAGTATTATGAGTGTTATTGATAATTACGAGGCACTTGGCGGCGAGGTAGCGGAAGCGGAGATCACGGAAGACGATCTTGGAGGCGTTGAGAAGGTGGAAAGCGCGGCGGTAGTGTCGGCCAAGGAAGAGTGCCTGAGCTTGCATGTAGATGTCGGCGGGATCATTGGTTAAGGCTGCCACTTTATCGGCGAAGAAAATGGCGGAGGAGTACAGATGCTTGCTCACGCAGTCCCTGACTACGCCGCGGAGCTTCTCTATCGCCTCTTCTCTCATGTTTCTGAAAGGTAGGATTTCAGAGAGAGTGAAGGAAGAAGAAAGTGGGAGGTTGTGTTTGGTTCCTGGGAAAGTGATTGGGTGCGGTGTGAATGGCGCTGCCGCTGTGGAAGAGGGTTCACCGGTTCAGGAGCAACTCGGCGGGAGTTTGGATTTTGTTGAAATTTTGTTTGGAAGATAGAGCCCAAGGCCCAAATGAAGTCTGGTTAACGGGCTTTGATTTCTTTCGGAACATTGCATTTTCTCTATGCAAAAATTTGGATGAGAAAGGCTTTGCGTTTGTTTGTTTGATAATGCTTTTTTAGTGCTTTAATTTTTAATTTTTAATTTTTATATATTTTTATTAGTTTAAAAACATATAAATTATTAATTAAAATAAAATATATAAATTAGTTTTGACTTTAAAATAAATTGAAATTTTAATATTAAATTATTTCATTTTATTTAATTAAAACTCAATTTAAAATTTAAAGAGTGTGATTTAAAAACTATTTTTTATACTTTTTTATACAACTTTATTGTTATTTAAATAATTAATTCTTTTTATTCATTTAAAAATCGTAATATTGAATGTATATATTTATTTAATGACATGAAAAAAATTGTATAAAAAATTATAGAAAAAAATTATCCATATTTCATCGCTTAAATTTAAAAATATATTTGATTAAATATTAATATTTAAATTTAAAAACAGATTATATTATAATATATAATTAATTTTTAAATATAAATATTTACATTTAATAGAGTAAATTTTTAATTTTTAAATTAATTTTTTAATTTTTAAATATAGATTGAGATTATAATTCTTTTTAAAAAATTCTCTTACATAAATATAAAATATATTTGATATATTTGTAAAATATTAAAAAATGAAAAAAATTACAACACTAACACTATCAAACTAAGCATTCTACTTCACTGATATACAAATTTGGATGGTATTTTAGGCCAATAAAAAAAAGGTGATACAAACTAAACTTTCGAATCCAAATAATTCATCCTTAAACCTTAAGGTTTTTGGATTAGTTAGTTAGAGTTTCGAATTTCTCAACACTTTGAAAAATCTCCTTCTCCCAATTCTCTAAATTGTAAACTGTTCAAGGAAAAAGAAAAGAAAAGAAAAGTGACACATCATACAATTCTCATCGATCGAGTGCTAGTGTAGCCCAGATTGGTTCATCGCAATTGCGCTTCCCTTGCTAAATTTTTTTGGCCCAACAAAACAGCATATAAAATGAAAATTTTTAGGAATATATTCCATTAAATAGATGGGTATGTGATAATGGTATCGAGCATTGCCAATGAGTTCACTGGGCTCAACATGTCACATGTGGGGCATTGGTGCACCGGTGTTGTTGGGAAGCACTGCCCTGATTTTAGAGGCATTGGCTTTGAAGAGAAGGATGAATAGCGCAGGGAAGGGTCTGCAGCAAAAGATTAGAGACGAGCCTACCTTTGACAAAGAAGCTGCTTAGATTTTTTTATTTTTTATTTTTTTTGAACTAATTTGTAAATGATCGGATTGGGACCGTTATCCAAGAAAAAAAAGATGCACTTTAACACGATTTGACGTTATTAAATCCGAAAGCTCAAGTGCAAGAAACTGCTTAGAGTGAAGCTTTATCTTGTTCATATTTAAATGAATTTGTATTTTGGTAATGTATTACTTCCTTGTTGAAGCTTTAGCTGACATAGTCTAATAATTAAGTAATACAAATTCATATTTATTTTTAATTATTGTACTCTTCTTTTTTTTCTTTCTCTTGATCACCATAGCTATTACTTTTTAAATAAATGCATTTATTTAAATATATATTATAATTATTTTTAAATTAAAATATAAAACAATTAATTTTAAACACTTCTAATGACGTAAAAAGTATAACAACTAAAGTTAAATAGAGTATATATGTGAACTCCACCAAACGGTCTGATGGCCGTGCACCTTATTAAGATCGGTGGGCTGTTCACCAGATCTTAGGATCGAATTATCAGTTACTAACGTTTAACAATACTAACCTACTAACCATTGCTCTTATTTAAAAAAAAATATAGTATGTATGTATTTTATTCATAAGCAAAATACACAAATTCATCTTTAAAGTATAATGACAAGGATGAATCCACCCTAAACAAAAAATATAGATAAATTCATTCACAAAGTTTTCGAGTTGGAAAAATCACTCTTATATTTAACGTGTAATGT